GGACTCTTGACAGATAACCTTATGAAAACATTTTTTCCTGCGAAAACTTTAACGGAAAAAATGATCCACATCCTCTCTGCCATAAACAACCGCATCGCGAACAGAGTAAAAGGGGAAAACTGTATCGCATGTTCTTGGCATCGTTTTGAAAGACATAAGCCTACAGATGTGATCGCCACCGCCAAATGCATGAAAAGTACGTTTTTAGGAACTGTCTTAACTTGAAGACTTCGATAACTGGGCCTGTCTTTTCTGTTTATCGATTGGGAACATTAAGGACCGCAGGACATTCACTGGAATTTCAACAACATCCTAAGACTCAGCGGACTCTACTGTTGACTGCATATATGGCAATTTTAAGAAAGAAAAGTTCCCTCAGTTCAAAGGCACTGACATGCTTGTGGTTGTATCCAGTACTTTTATTTTTATTTTTTAATCACTGGCCGGCTTTTCGACATGCCCTATAAAAATCTGAGTCCCAGCGAGATTCTTATCTGCGAATTCAAAAGGAAACTCTTCGTCTTCGCCAATCGCATTTCGAACAATAAAAATACGGAAAAATAACATTAACGCGTCGTAACACCAGTTTGAAAGATATAATCAAAGGCCGGAAAGTTGACTGGCTGCTGAAGAACGCTTACCCCGTAAAGTATTCAAAAGGGGATTTCGAAGTTTGTTTGCCTAAACTGCTTTATTAACTCAGTTGTCCCCAAAAGCAAACCTTACATAACTCTGCAGTCTGCATTTGGGAATTTAATAAAAATAGTTGAGCAATCGGAAGTTCCACTTTCCATCGAAAAATTACGACTTCTAATCAACGTAATATCGCTTCGAATGCTTCGCACGTGTTTTTTATTCAACGGAATGTCGTTATTTTTGAAGTTAGAGCTTTCGCCACCGTATGCAGCTCATTTTTAGATCGATTGACGATTTTTCATAAATTTAAGCAGATTTCATGACCAATTCTTCCTATAGTATTTGCCAGAAATGTGAAGCAGCAAATAATTTAGGAGAGGTACTGAAAATGCAGTTCGTGGTTTGAATGTTGAAGATTATGCAATTAAAGCTTTACAGTGGCCACGTGTGAAGTGAGTCAAATAATCGTTGAAATGTTTAAATGTAAAGTATTTAGTCCCGAAACTGCCGCCGTTTTCCCTTCTAACTGCTCTCACAAATATTTTGAGGGTGGTCACTTCTGCCAAAATGCCTCAGAGAGGAGTCAAAATATCTACCGTCTATTGGCAGAATTGATTTGACTTCATGTAGCAAACTTGAGCCATCGTAAAAAAATATTGCGGAGAGGAACATAGTTTTCTTACAACGTTTTGCCTGATTTATCTTCGCAGTCAATTCAAGATAAATGCGAGTGAGTCCGCTAGTGTGCGGAGGGGGACGTTCAATTGAGGTAAGCGAAGATGCACTCATGCTAATTAAAACCGCCTACTATCTAGAAAAAGTAGGCTGTATAAAACACTATATGTTCTCATGCTGACACAACTCTCTCCTGTGGCTCCACGCAGCTGGACTCTGCTCAGTGGCCACACCCCGGGCAACTGTCTTGACCGGCGGGCTAAACCAGGTGAGGGGGCCCTGTGCGCCGTGCCGTGTGCACAGGGTTTGCGGATTCCGCTGGATGGAAGGTCGGATGGAAACTTGTGTCGGCACCGTCGTGACGTGGTTCGTCTCTGCACGCCGCTGGACAGCCGGTGACGGGATGGATCTCCACATCGACATTGCCTTGACGCGCCCACCTACGCCGTCGGAGACCGCGGCTTACGGCGAATTCGAGTCGCTCTCCACTACAACCCGAAGTCGTGGTCCCATAGTGGAGTTCGGCCGTACCAAAACGGCACATGGCAGCCCTATTCAGGGATGGCACTGCCAGCCCCCACGAGGGGAAGGGCCTAGAAAAGGTGGCCTAAACATTGCTGGATACCACGCCGTCTCCAGGCTAGCCAGGGCCGCAGACGTCTAATCATGGTCGAACCAAGCAAAATCGAAACTACAACAATACCAATAACAACAGCAACCATACTAATTCTCCTCATCCTACCTCTTCTTCCTCTTCCTCTACCTATTCTTCTCCTTCGTCACCTTCTTCTCTATCTCCTTCCCGTCGCCCCACTCGCTGTCACCAGACTGGCAGGGTGAGCCCGCTCACTCTGGCAGCCTGAAATGTTCGTTCCCTTTTAGACAATCCGAGGAGCAACCGACCGGAACGGAGGACGGCGCTAGTGGCACGAGAACTGGCGCGTTACAAGGGGGACATCGCCGCACTCAGAGAGATCCGATTCTCCGAACAAGGCCAACTGGAGGAGGTGGTTGCCGGCTACACCTTCTTCTGGAGCGGTCGACCCAGGGCAGAGCGACGGGACGCGGGTGTCGCCTTCGCTATTCGGAACGACATCGTGGGACGACTGCCCTGTTTGCCGCAGGGCATCAACGATCGCCTGATGAGCCTCCGCCTGTCTCTCTGGGAAGGCAAATTCGCCACCATCATCAGCGCCTACGCTCCACCGATGAGCAGCCCGGACGCCGCCGCAAGAGACAAATTCTACGAGGACCAGCACGCCCTCTTGGCGACTGTGTCGAAGGCGGACAAGTCGATTGTCCTTGGTGACTTCAACGCCCGCGTCGGCACAGATCATACTGCCTGGAGAGGAGTGCTGGGTCCCCACGGTCTCCGCGGCTCAAACGACAACGGCCTGCTGCTTCTCCGCACCTGCGCAGAACACCGCCTTATCCTGACGAACACCTTCTTCTGTCTGCCGGAGCGAGAGAAGGCCACCTGGAGGCATCCTCGGTCGCGCCAGTGGCACCTGCTGGACTATGTCCTCGTCCGGAGGCGAGATCAGCGGGACGTGCGGGTGACGAAAGCGATCGCGGGTGCTGACGGGTGGACCGACCATCGCCTCGTCATCTCGAAGATGCGTATTCGCCTACAGCCTCGCAGGAGACCACAAGGTAAGCGACCCCCAGGTAAGCTGAATGTTGCTTAGTTGTCTTTGCCCGCTCACCATCTTCGTTTCAACAATGAGCCACCTCCCACGCAAGTGGGAAGTCCGCATCTCGACTCGGTCCCCATGCGGCTTCGGCTGCACGGGTGACTTGAGTCCGAGACTATCCCGACACGTCAAGCGTCGTGGATAGGAAGGTTGCTGATTGACGCCCGCTCTCGGTTTACGCAGTTCGTTGCGTTGTGTGTGTGTTGTGTGGAGTGGCGGACTGGTGGGCCAGGAACGGGCTGAAACAGCACCTTTCACGTCACTCTCACGCAAGTGAGAGACACGCCGTTCAAACTCCCGTTGTGTGAAATCCTGGTGTTGTGTGCATGGGGGGCCAGGTCGTGCCGTGGCGCGCGCAGTCATGGTCATTCGACCATGACAGCAACCGCGCCCATTCCGCACTCCAGTCTGCTGAACGGCTCGGACAGCGGCTGGGGTGTGGGAGTGGGAAGGGAAAGTGAGGTCGACGACTCAGCGCACTTCCTCCTCACTATAAACAATCTGACGCGCTTGAAGCTATCACGGTGCGCTAAAAGCCGTGGCTTGGAAGGTTGCCAACTGACGGGGTAACTTGGACCTCCTCCTTGACCGGAGGCGGTCTGAGAGTCAGGCTGCAATGGCTCCTTTTTAATGTGGCCTTTATGGCACTCCCATCACAGTGTGGGATCCGAGCCAGGCGTTGGCGGCACGCCCAGGTGCGGCTTCGGCCGTGCCAGCCTCCAAATCTCTGGTGTGTGGTTGAAATCCTGGTCATTTGTTGTGTGGACCAGGGGGTGTGGTGGAACGCCAAGGTGAGGATCCGTCCGAGCCATCCACCTGCGGCCTCTCTCGTCTCCGGTCTTCTTGACTCTGTCTTGACACCGGGCGCGGGCGAGGGAGGAGGAGAGAGTGTAGGTAGATGCTACGCAAGTCTACCGGCACTATAAACCCCTGCGTAAGTCACCGTCCCTGCTCCCATTGCTGCTGTAACTGTGGGGCACACGGTGGACATCATCGAAAACGATGGTCGAACTGTCATATGTTCTCATGGGCAGTGAGTGACAGTCGACCTTACTCGCCTTTGATACCAAAGTTTACACCTCAAAATTAACCATGCCTGCGCGTGGAGAGGTCTAAAACTTGTTTCAAAGAACTCATTGCAAGCTTTTTATCGCATATCACATTTCAACTTGCTTTGTTATTGCTATTGTACTAACGAGAGTTCCTTTCCTTCGTCAACAATCATACCGACTGGTTTCACATTGTGGGGAAATAGCGGAGACCCAAAACGCACGCTAGTCGTAGTGCAGATTCCAGCTGCCATGTAATGTCAAAAGGTAAGCAAGTAGGGATGAAGTAATTAGTAAGTACTGCGGGACTCAACGGCTAACGAAACTTTTTTTAATGGCATGAACCCAGCAGTGAAAAAAGCCAATTTTGACAAGTTCAAACCAGGAAGAAATACTAAAAAAGTTATATCAAGGTTGTGGAGAAGTCGCAGGAAACAAAGTGAAAACGGAAAAACCGCGCAGCAGCGAAAGAACGCTAACAGGTACGCTTGTAATTGACAAAACCCACCCTACATGATCCAAGAAGGCCATTTATTGTGCCGCAGAGACAAAAGTATCCGTAAAAAGGGACGCATTTTTAAGTATTAATTGTATGGCCGTTTCTGACGGTAGTCACATATAATTACTTGTAACCTTGGTAGAGTGTGGTTGTGAGGCCCCTCCTGATGGACACAACACGGCTAGGGTTAAGATTAGGGGGCTAAGGTTAGCGTTGGTGGATTAGGGGTCAGAGTTAGGGGCAACTATTTCTCAACCACTTCAAGTAAAACCACGCATTCTCAATAGCTTTTCTCTTGTACACAACTATTGACCTCATCGTCTGTGCGTTCCCCGTCGCCGCCTGAAAAACCCCCTGTTACCGCCGGTCCCGTATTACAGGTGGCTGGGGTTCGTTTATTTCAGACGCGGTTATAGAACCATATCTGACCGTAATCTTTTTATGATCGTACAAACTACTCCGATGGAGCTATCAGTAAGATAATTATTCAATGCTTATTTAAGTTCTCCTAGGGAAGGGGAAACGATTGGAGCTTTTTCTCAGTTATTTGAAACGGTGGAAGTCCTAAAGCTGTCAGCTAGCAGCTGCAGAATGGAGGTGACTAAAAACAAGATAGGTGAATAAATGGACTCTGAACTGTAAGCCTTTTTCAGATTTAGGCGCTGTAGATATCGATGACTACATCCTTCACTTAGTGATGTGTCTAATGACGTGACATTTGACGCTCGCATTTTGTCTGTCACAGGAAAAGTTCAGGTGAACTACTTTTCCAGTTTGGATGTTGTTTAATCATTACTTTCCGTGTAAGCTACATAAAGCTATCGCTTAGCAGCTATATATTGATTAATCTTTCTATGACTACAAATATGACTGACATATCTATATGAGGTTTTGTTCTCATTAAACAATCGATTTTCCTGCAGAGTCCGGCTGCGCCAGATCATGTCGCAGCGTCTTGAGGAGTCCTCCGGCTTCCTGCACTAAAAACAGAAGTACCAGACGCTATTCCTTCTAGATATAAGACGTCAAATTTTTGGGGTCATCCACGAATAGTTTACAAGTCGGTTCATAGTATTTCCAGGAACTAGCGCGTCAGTATCTGATGGGATAGCCTTAAAGAGCATTCTAACAACTTGTTTTCTGAATCAAAAAAGTGTGGCTGAAAATAGGGCACCATTGCAGCTTTTTAATTAGCATCAATAATTACAAAAGTTTAATTAGTTAAGAAAGTGGTCCTCGGAGAACAAAAGCTATCTAGACGAAAAGGTCTAACCGCTCTTGCCCACTGAGAAATTAAGGGAGTCCGGGACGAATCTGGGCAAGGATTAAGTATATGCGCGAGCTCAGAAAATGCAAACTACTGTTTAGCGAATTCGCCAGAGTTTTAATATTCCTGGTTTACTGGTACGCATATGCATTCCATCTGACGATATTTCAAGTACTTTTTACTACCTGAACGCTCTCCATGCCGAACATTTTTTGAAAATGAGCTTTTCTCTTACTAAAGAGCTACGTGTGTAGGTGCGGAACACTGAACCGATGTAGATATTTCAGCAGCGCCGAATCCTCGGGGCGGTACAAGTCAGCGTATGTCACCATGCCAACGAAGGGTCGACAAAATACTCAACCGAACAACACTTACTTTTAAAAATATTGCAGGCAGCTCTCCATAGTTCTTCCTTACCCGCGCATATATTTGACCCTTAACTGCATCTGGACTGAAAGTGGCATGAAAATCCTTTTGTTGTCAACCTCTGGTGAGGATAGGCTACGATAAAACGGTACGGAGGACACTGACTGAAGTTTGAGGGCCACAACATCAATTATGTCAGGTGGGCTGTGAAAGCGACAAGAGCGGTTACCTTCTTTTTGATTACCTAGACAGTTTTCTCGAAAGGAGGAAGAGCCATAAACAGAAGACGCAATCAAGTACGGACACAGGGATTCATGTTTCCGTGATGACCACCGCATGTACGTATACATGAAATATCAGCTTCTGAAACCCGGCTGACTTATTCCACTGACTTCCAATCTTCATATAAATACCTAAGAGCTGACCTCGACTTGATGCTGGGGCGAGATTTCAGGTCCTGATCCCGGAGGATAATCCCAGAACTCTATGATAATTCGGAACACTGGGCCGTGTATTGTCACCTCTGGAAATCAGGTTTCATCCGCGTCCGAGTGCAGTACTTTAGTTCTGAGATTTCTTAGCAATCGCTGCCTGACTTCTAATTTTTGTCCACTTCAACTAGTACCGAACGCAAACTTCTAAATCTTTCGACGAGCCATGATTTTCAGAGCGGCCGATGGACCTGGAGACTTTAATAACAGCCAGATTTTCGCGAACAGCAGATTTATCGACCCTGCGTCGTTCGTAAGCAAGGCTTGCTGCAGGGGTGTTTCAGATGAGAAAATTATGCGCATGAAGAACTACCCTTACCTGGCAGCAGCCTGACCCCACCAGACTTTGCAGAGGTGGCCATAAATTTACGGGAATACACGGATCAATCAAATTACCCCTTCTGTCGAGTTAACTTAAGGCATTAAAATCATTCTGGCTGTTAGGCTTACATCCGTAGTAAATCCACCGTGATATTCACAGCTTGCTTAAGTTCCTTAAATGCAGGTCTGAAGGCCAACAGTCCAGGATTGTTGAATCCACTGTAAATAAGGCTCTTGATCAATCCGGTGACTACTGACGTTGGTGTCCCGACATTCTTCCACAAGTCAGTTACCCCATTCAAAGCTCCGTTCATGCAGGGGAATTACAGGAACTCACAGGGAAATAACCTGTACTACATAAAAACGGGGCACACCTCCGAAAGGAGGCGTGTAGGAGTCATACTAATAACTGCGTGGGACAATAGAACTTCCAGGGAAAGCATGAATATTCCGAACAAAACACGAGCGATGTCTTCCGGATGTAGCGGTTCAAAAAGACGAGCCGGAGGTTAAAACCTCGAGGGTCAAATTTGAGCTATTTTGAATGGTCTGCCCTAAAAAGCGCACTAATGTGCTCTGTTATTGTTGGCGTTGAACCGCAGGCGAACTGCTTCAAGCCGAAGAGCAATCGAACAACGCTAATCGACGACAGTCTTAGCCTGAAGTAAATAAGCGAACACAACCAGCACGTCTCAGCAGTTAAAATGACACATTTGCATCGCTTTATTTTGGCAAAGGTCCTGAATGAGTTAAAAATATGTCAAATGACCGTTTTTTTAATCTTCCAGGATTGAACAGAGCAATTTATGTAACACAGCTATTTCGCCAAAAATATTCGACTTTTAGAGAATGAGATGTCCCAGAATCCCTTTTGGTCGAAGAATAACATACACTCTCAGAAACAATGCATCTAAACTATATATTTTGCCAAGAAAATACGTCACAGTGAAAATTCACGCGTCGTGCTTATTAGTCCTGGACCTTAGAAATGAGGAAAGTCG